ATAAAAAGTGATTTTTAAGAGTTTTTGTCAAATGCTTTATAATATACTAGAAGGGTACCCGCGCAATGCAGCGAGATACATCTCGATTTTAATGTTTTATTTTATTATTTGTCTTTGTCGATGTTATTATACGATTTTATGTGTTTTTAAGAAAGCAATAATTATTTTATTTTTGAATAAAATATAAATTTGAAGATATTAAAAAAATTGAAAAAAAAAATCAATGTTAATATCAAATCAATTATTTAAAAGTCCTCATTTTTATGTAATTTCTTTAATTTGTTTATTTTTATCATAATTTAATTTAAGTTTAATAACGAAACAATTTATTTTTGGTTTAATAATATAACATTTTATAAAGATAATAATTAAGTATTATGTTATAACTCAATGATTATCCTAATATATGGGTCAAGATCTCTTTGAGTATTACTACTTCTATTATCATCTCAACAATCCTACCGTGAGAATATGTGGAACCCCATCCCAAAAGAGCCCCTGAAAGGAGAGAACGGAGGGTCCAACACATAAATAGGAGAATTGGTTCAAGTCTAGCCGATGTGGATTCTAAAACCCACAATGCAGAAGTTAAACAAAATAACAAAACTTAAGCTATTTGATTCTAACGTAAGTCTCCATCATCTTTAAGAAATAGAACCCCACCACACTTTCTGCGAGTGGTTGAGATTCTGCAAATCGTGTGTGTGTGTGTTTATGACAAAATAACCATTAATGAGAGGAGTAAAGAGTGTCAGAGTGACAACCTCGAAAGCAAAATCTTGAAGAGCAGCCTCTGGTAACACTTCGTTGATCAGGAGGAAATCAGTCCAAATAAAACTTGCAAGTGTCATTGCAAAACTTTAGGTTAAATGCAAGTTGAGTTCCAATTGAAATACTCATTTAAGTGTCCTACTACCCAAGCAGAGATTGATACACAAAATTTCAAGAAGAAGAAAAATCAGTAGGCATCACAGTTTATCATAATGGAAAAATATTCAACCATGCATACCCGACCTGTTAATTAATCAAACAATGAATCAACCAAGAATTAGGTCATGAAATAAAGAGAAACTTACCCGAGAGGATTGAGGTTTTAGCCACTTGTTTGAAGTAATTGACAGACCCRAAATCAGGCTGCGTCTGAAGCAATATATATGCATCTCTAAATTCTATTGTAGTCAATATCATCTCAATCGATATCATCTCAGAATATTTAGGGATTAAATCGAATATGTATTCTTGAAAATTGGTTGGCGATGATATCGTTTAGAGAGGGCGATGAAATCGTTTAGGGTTTATGAAATCGAACTGGGTTAGGGATGAAATCGAATCCGTATTCTTCAAAATTTATTGGCGATGAAATCGGATAGGGATGAAATCTTTTAGGAGGGAATTGGGTTTCTGTTGGCGATGAAATCGGATAGGGATGAACAAGTTTAAGAGTTTTTAAGAATTTTAGTCAAATGTTTTATAATATAGTATAGATTATAGATATATATTACACATCACAAGGACAAACACTCACTCCTCCTAGTCTTCTTCGACCCATCTCCCTATTTTCTCTAGTAATACATCCAGCAACCATTTATGTGGAAAAACAAAGATATTTATATGTAAGATGTGGCAAAATGTTGAATCAAGAATTCAAGATACAAACAACAAGTCATCCCCTAATCTTTTCTGGTTATCTTCTTTGGCATAATGTTCAAACAACACAAATTGATCAAATCAGAATGTTTAAACAACATAACTTGAATCCACCAACAAGTGTTTCTTTGTGAGTAAAACACAAACCGGTAACAATTATTTGGTCAAATGAAGATTATAATATAAAGTGATAACAAAACCCGATGGATCTTCATCCTCAACATTGTTTGGATCTTTAGTGGCACCATTTTCAATTCTATTCAAGGTCTAAACACAAAATAAATACATAGAATAAATAGCACATATGGGGTCCAAGGTAGAAATGGTCGTCAGAGTGGATTGAGATAGATAAGGGGGTGAACCAGTGGTTCTCGAAGCATGTGTAGGGGGATCTAGTGGTGCTACTACTATCTCGATGTTTTTAGCAAGTTTTTTGCAAGGGTCATCGTAGTGGACAAATAGAGGAACAGGGAAAAGATGGGAAGATATCAGAGAGGGGAAGATAGTGATAATGGATGGATGTGGTTGTTGGTAACGAAACATGTCAGATAATGAAGACCAGTGCTGGAGATTGAGATAAAATGGAAGGAAGATGAACGTCCATGTGGTTCTTGGTCTCGTTTATCTTAAGAAGCGTGGTAAGCACTTTATCAGTGAATGTTCACATAAGTTTTCATCTTAAGATACATTAACAAATGTTAAACTTGTAAATGTTAACATAGGTTAACAAGAAAATCGTAATCTAAGTTGGTATAAGTTATAATACATTAACACACAATTAAATTACCACATAATGAAATGTTAACATGTTAATATATGTGAAACTCCGTTAACAAAATGCTTCTTACATTTTTGATCAAAATGTTTCCGAGTAGGGGATTTAAATAAGAAGGTTAAATATCGTGAGAAGGTAGAATGGAAGATTACGAGAAGATTCACACTGAAGAATTTCATTTGAAGATGCATATGTTATTCCATATGAATAAACTGTAATCTCAGTTCACATATGTATTTTCAAATAGATTTTTCATATTATTTCAAAGGATTTACATATGAATTTTTCTTCGTATATTCTCATAATATTTAGCCTTTTATCTGAATCCCCGTATACATATATATACAATAATACAATAAAATATACTTTTTAAATATTTAATTAAAAGTCAAGGAAAAGATGTAAAGTGACCTATACACCCCTTAGATAAATTGAGTTTTTTTAACAGAGTTAGAGATAACGGACCCAAGGCGTGAAAAAATGTAACAACATGGACTTCTTTTTCGTAGTTATTTAATTTTAAAGATGCACAATATGATTTTAAGTAAATCTTAAGGACCAAACATGTAATTCACTCAAAACTTTATAACCAAAAAAGACTTTACATTTTGTATAAAATAATAATCAACTTATTTAGTATTTTTGTTGTTGTTATTTGTTTTAATTTAAAATATTAAAAATGTAAAAAAGGAAATATGATATAAATATGTGACAAAAAAAGCTAGTAAATTGTGGTTCATATAAAATATAAAATGAGTACACTTAAGAATAATTTATATCTTTTATCTATACTATATTATAAAATATTTGATAAAAATTTTCAAAAATCATTTTTTATACATGAAATACTGTTTATTGATACATATTACTTAATATTCAAGATTACAAGAAAATAATGAACAAGTACAACTTATTAAGGCTCTCATGTTTGAATTCGTGTAATTAACTGTAGATAACATAATCAAATATAAGTTAAACATTTTATTTTTTATATATAATCATTGTGTTGTAACAAAATATTTAATTATTACTTTTATAAAAAAATATTATTAAATCATAAATAAAGTACTTTGTTATTAAACCTAAAATAAATTATAATTAAAATTTTATATTAAAAAATTACACAACAAAACAAGAACTTTTAAATAGTTATTTTGATACTAATATCGACATATTTATATTTCAAAATTTTATGATATTTTTCAAACATTATTTTTTTCTCAAAACTACATAAAACCGTATTATAACATCGACATGCGACAGAATAAAACGATACATTGAGTTTGAGATATATCTTATTTTATTGCACGAGTATTCTTTTAGTGATTTATAACATATAGATGGGTAAACTTAAATTAAATCTTAAAATGAGAATATATTTTGTATTTTATGAACCTAAAAAATTTGTGTTTTGAAAACGTAAAAATGAAAAAAAGAAAAAAAGAAAAAGGTTTATATTCTATGAAAGCAATATACGTATTTTATAACAAAAAACAAAATATTTCAAAATTAAATCTACGTTAAATATAGAAAATCAATAATACTACTAATAAATATCAATATAGAGGTAGTATACACGCTATTTTGTATATGCACACGTAATCTATATTATATTATAAAATATTTGACAAAAACTCTTAAAACTCATGTTTTTATGCATAAAGTACTGATTATTAATGCATGATACTTAAAACTCAAGATTACAAATAGATTATGCGTAAGTATAACTTATTAAAGTTCCATATCTGAATTCGTGACTAACAGCAGAT